ACTCACAATTGAGTGATGGTTTACATGGGAGAACATCGGTTTTACACTCACAATTGAGTGATGGTTTACATGGGAGAACATCGGTTTTACACTCATAATTGAGTGCTAGTTTACATGGGAGAACATTGGTTTTACACTCACCATTTCATTGCAAGATTTCAATCTCCTCCATGCATCATCATTCAATAGTATTTGCTTCTACCCTGTTTTGTTTTTGTTTTTGTTTTTTTTTTGCGGGGGAGGATGTACACAAAAACACTTAGGAATATATATTCATTTAAACAACCCAAGGGCACATTCTGCAAGTTTGCCTCCTGGCTACCAGCACCCAGTCTTTCTCTTTCCATGAATCTAGAGTCCTCAGCTGATCTCTCTCTCCATGTCCTCAACCCTGCCTTCATCTCTGGTGTCCCTGCTCCTCTAGATAGGGTCCCACATTCTGCTTGTGCTTGTCTCCCTTGATGGTCCTAGGGTCCTCTGTTCCTGTACTGTAAGAGTAACTACTCCCCCTTTTTGTTACAAAACTACCTTTCCAGTTGGCATAGCAACATTGTTAAGGAGCTAAACATCTGGTGTGAGTGACAGGTGAAGGAGAGCCAGGTTCTTCCCTTTAGTTCCTGCTTCTTAGTCCCAGCAGTGCCAGCGATGGCCAGAGCAAGTGGTAGGGACCCTTGGATCCCTGTCGTCAACCAAATGGAAGGAACTGTGAGGGGTCACGTGAGTGGTGCCAGAGACACAAAGTTCTAATCTGGGAGGCAGGTTGCTGTTCCAGGAAGTGCTAGAAGCCAGAATAGAAAGTTATTCAGGAAGCTGACATCCTCCGTTCTGCTGCACCTCCAGCGCTGGGTTTGGTCGTGGTAATAGAGCTTTCCCTTGTGGGATTTGCTTGCCTGTCACTGAGCCCATAAAAGCATACATTCCTGAGGCTAAGCTTTTAAAAACAAGTCCATAACAAAGGTGGTTCTTGAAACAAGAGTATAATCTTCCGCCCTTGCCCTTTGGCCGTGAGAACTGATCCCAGAGTTGATTAGTTGTAGCTTTACTGCTGGTCCAGACAGCCAGCAGGGTGCTCAGGAGGCCCCACCAGCTAGTTGGGACAGGGCTGGGTCTGTCTTTTCATCCCTCACCTTCCCTGTCGTCTCCCAGGTTTGTTAGGACCAGAGTACAGGTGTTGGGCTGGTGCTATGTCTTGTCAGCCCTTGGTCTCCCCAGGGAGAGGCAGGGACCGCTGCAGTACAGGCTGAGAATTTGTCTGAGGTGGGGCTCGTTGGAATCGTGCCCCGTGTGGTATTGACTGCACTAATGTAGACAAAGAACAAACCGGGCATTGTCACCCGAGGGGTGAGTGCCCAGCACCACCAGGCACTTTCATCTGCAGTCAGTGTGTGCCACGCAGGACAGGGCTGCCCTGCCTTCCAAACAAGTGGGTAGAGGTCCCACCATTTGGAGAACTTGTTTTTATTCCTGCGAGGTCACACACACGGCACACACGCAGAGCATCCTGCAGATGGTAGGGTAGAGAGCAGGCTCCTCCAGGCCAGAGCCCCGCCCACATGAAGTTGTGCAATACTGAGCATAGTTGGAATTTTCTTTCTGATCCCAGCGTATAACACTGAGAAGGACCATCTCCTCTTTAACTATTGCATTCCCAGTGCCTCTTGCCAGTGGCCACCTCTGTGTCAGTCACCAACCATGAGCCCTCGGCATCTCCCCCAACCCCCCATTCATCAGACTCCAGCACTCGATGATCGGGGTCCTTCCACATGGGGACTCTTCAAGGTCAAGGGGAGCATAGATAATAGGCAATGTGCCTTTGGTCTCCAGGTCCTAGGAAGACGTCTTGGTAGAACCATGTGAGTCAGGGACAGCCGCCCCCAGTCCCTTTGTCACATAGGAAAGGCAGCCAGGCTTCCTAAGCAAGAAGGGGAGCTGGTGGTGGGTTTTAAACATGCCCCCAAAGTACCACTTTCCACCTATTTGGTTTAGAATGGGCCCCTCTGCCACAAACAGCTCAGGGAACCAAGGAAACAGGATTTTTTTCCTTTCCTCTTTTGTGTGGCAAGGAAGACAAACAGTTGGCCATGAGAGTTAGGGTTCGTCACTTGGGCATGGTGACCCTGGAGGTGCGTGTCGCCTTCAGAGGGCGGTGTCTACTGTTGCCTGTGCTTCATGCTAAACACATCTCTTCTTTTCACAAGATCATCTGCTGAGAAGTGAAAACCAAGGGTGTTGCTTCACTGCGGAGTGGGGTGGGGGTGCTGATAGTGGGGGTCTCTTTTTCTGAGCATCTGTTTGTCTTTATTGTCCTGTGATCATGCCTGGTGTATGTTTGTCCATGAGGCTCCGGTTTGGTCCATCCTCGAGACCCTAAAGAACAGAGTAGAGCTGTCTCCTGGGGTTTCCAAGTCTTCTCGGAAGTGAGGCCCTGCTTTGTTCAGCTCTGACAGTGTAAGGCTGTTGGCCAGCTGTTCTGGCTCCCAGGCACTCACTTTTCTCCCTCCTCTATGTTCTTTTGACAAACCAGCTCTGGCTCCCACCTCATCTTCGTCCCATCGTTGAGAGATGTGCATCATGAGCCTGTGTACCCACAGCCCCCCTTCAGCTACACGGACCTGGCCAAAGAGGATAAAAAGGTACCCCATAGCCAAATCTGAGATGTACCACGGGTGGCCTGGCCCTGTCCCCAGAGTGGAGAGTGGAGGTACTTCTCAGACGTGCATGCAGCCCATGTCTTCAACTCTTCTTTAACCAGCAAATGTGCTCCTAACTTGGCTGAGTGTTGGCTCAGTCCCCTCTTCAGTGGCCCTCCCTAGCCCTTGGAGAGCCTGCACTTTCATGGGGAAGAAGTTTCAGGTTTTCGGGACAAATGTGTGTTTCAACCCTTCTCACTGTAGCGAGTACAGTTTGTGTCCGAGCCCTGCAGCCTCTCCATAAGCGGAGCCGTCTTTGGCTTGACGTCCACAGACCTGCTGTTCCACATGGGGGCTGAGGAGATCAGTAGGTAAGACGTGCTCACCAGGCTGACAACACAATGCTGCGCTCTCTCCTAGTCCAAGGACATCGAGGGGCTGCTTGACCCAGGCTTCGCCAGCAGCACTTGATGCCTAACCTTGTCCCAAGGGAAGGAGAATTGGTGGTATGGTGGGCTAAGCACTGGGCTGCTCATCACAAAGTCATGGTTTAAATTCACCAGCTGCTCCTCAGGAGAAAGATGAGGCTGTCTGCTGTAAAGATTCCACTCTGTCCTGTAGTGCCTTAGCGTTGGGGTCGACTCCACAGCAGTGGGTTCAGTGGAGGCCGTTGGATGTGTTCATTTCGACCATCGCTGGTCTGTGGTTTGTGTCCTGTCTGCACTTCATTATAGTCATGCTAGTGTCTCTACATGGTGTCCTCCACTGCCTTCTTGCCACATCCCAATTATCTGACTTAGCCACATGGGCCTTGTCCCTGGTTGTGGAGGATGGACTGAGAGTTCACTCGGAAGGGTCACCAGAACATCAGGTGGCAGGCACTGTGGAGATCCCACATCTGTAGCGTTTCAACTTGACACTTCTGGTCTTCCAGCTCATGGTAGAGTAGGGGGGAGGGTTTGGAGCAGTGTGAGCGGTGTGTGTTGGCTGAGGTCTGGGTCACCAGCTATGGGTCTGCCTCCTGGTGGGGACAGCCCGAGTCCTCTGGCAGAAGACAGTCCGGCTAATGACCTTCCTTGATCTTGATTACAAGGGAGTGTGCTCTTCCCTTTCTCAGCCTGGCATTCCCAGCTCCTTTCGTGGATGGGACAGACAGACTGGTGGGATGCTCTCCTGTTACCATGCTTGACCAGCCATCTTCTGTCTAGTTTATGAAATCCTTTGATCTTCCTGCAAAGAGGCAGGAGCTGAAAAACGAACTTGCGCTGCCTCTCTTCCTTCCCCAGCAACTCTGGGACTTCAGACCGATTCAGCCGCATCCTCAAGCACATCCTGACCCAGAGGAGGTGAGTGCCCTTGCTGGAATCACCTGGTCCTGAAGACTGGACATTGGGATTACAGAGCTATGGTCAACGTCACTGTAGGTACCTTCACCAGGCCACTGCCAGGGAGCGTCCCCCTGTGGTGGTAACCAGTGCACATTCTGTCCACCAAGCAGAGATAGATGAAAACAACAACCACCTAGCCTGTTAGAAACAAGGGACATGGAGGGAGTGGGCTGGGGGATGGGCAGTGCCCCTAAATTGCCTGCTGCTGGCCGGTGACCCTCTGTCTCTGTAGCTACTACCCACTCTACCCACCCCAGGAAGACATGGCTGCTGACTCTGTCTGTCTGTCTGTCTGTCTGTCTCTCTAGCTACTACCCACTCTACCCACCCCAGGAAGACATGGCTGTTGACTATGAGAACTTCTACACCTACAGCCAGCTGCCTGTCACCCCAGATGTCTTCATCATTCCATCAGAGCTGAGGTATTTTGTGAAGGTAGGTTCGGAGCTCCTTTCTCATTGTTCAGGAGCACAGAACCAGTGTGTGACTTTTCATTTTAGGTCTTCTGATGGCAGTGGTGGCCTCTAAAGCCAGCCCTGGGGCCTCGCCTCTTTTAGGACTAGCATATAAATCTGTTCATAAAGTGCCTGAATGTTCGACACACTCTGCCCTCTCCCCAGAGGATGGTGCCGGGTTGGCCCATTTAGGTTAGCCTAATTGATTAGTGGGGAGGTTCTCAGGGCTGTGTTGGGGAGACATCAGGATTGCCCACTTGCTGCCCGCCCCGAGTGCTGCTGTGACCACGCTGAAGAAGATCCTCGGTTGTTCTGATCTTGCACCCCCTTCTCTGCCCCGAGGCCTGCAGTTGGGATTGGGTGCAGGGCTTCAGCTGGTCTAGAGGTACCCCGCCTTTGGAGGCCAGTTGCTCTGCATGTCCCATAGCGATCACCAGCTGGTCAGGCTGACTCCTCTCACCAGATCCCCTCACTCTTCATTCTGTCCCTGAGCCTCAGAACGCACTGCTGTTCGCAGGTTTGACAAAACATGTGCTGGGTGGCTTTCGCGCCCAGTCAGAAGACCCTCGTTGGGGTCTCCCTGTTATCCCAGTTAATGTGGATTTCTCCTTCTCTCTCCCCAGGACGTCCTTGGCTGCGTCTGTGTGAACCCCGGGCGCCTCACAAAAGGGCAGGTGGGAGGCACCTTTGGCCGGCTCTATCTCCAGAGGCAGCCTGTGGCTGGGGAGGGGAGGCGGAGTCCATGTGTGGCTGCCCAGGTGGTCAAAATCTGAGTCATGCCTTTGTGGTTCCCATCATGCCAGATGTCCGAGCCCTCAGGAGTTGGCAAGTCCAAACTTGTGGACAGTTGAGGAGAGGGCTGCAGGGCTGGGCCCCGCAGGAAGACCATGCACGGCTAGCTGCTGGTAGCTCTGGAAGAAAGCCGTGTTTGTTAATGGCTACGTGGTATCCAGAGGGAACGGGCGTGTGTACGGCATGCTCAGAAAGGGCAAGACAGTTTTGTGATTTTTTTTTTTCCAATGTAAATCAAGCATACATAATTTCTGGAGAAATAAAAAAATATTCTGAGGTTAATCTTTCTTTCTTCTGCTCATTCTTCTTCCTGTTAGTGGACAAAGAACGTTCCTACTTGACCTGTGCCCAGAGAAAGCAGTGTGCCAGCCATGCTGGGTTTCTGTCAGCCCCTCAGAGCCCCCCTGGGTGTCACCCCACCTAACCCTCCTAATACTATTCCAAGGTGCAGAGGGTACCTACTGAGGAGGTGTGCTGGGCCTCGAGGCTGGGACTGCAGAGCAAGCCACTGGCCACCTGCCCGGCCTCCCTGCAAGGTCCCCACATGTGCTGTGTTCCCGGCCTGACTCCTCCATTGGGAGGGGCGGCCTCAGACCCATTACAAAGCTGGATTCCAAGTTGCTCGGCAGCGCAAAACTTGCCTATAGCCCAGATTGGTCTTCTAGGGTTCCCAATACCTCCCCGTCCTATGGCTGGCGTCTCAGAGACCAACTGTTGCTAAATATGGGTGGGTTTCTCCCCAAACTGCAGGCTGTACTGCCACACTTGTCCAGCTAAGACCCTGAGACCCCAGCTGTTGATTTGAAGGGCACTTTCAAGGGAGCAGGGAGTTGCCCGTGCCTGTACCCTGACTCAGAGATAAATACGTAACCAAACAGTTCCTGCCCTTTGCTTCCACTCCTCTACCATGAAATGCAATCAGCCCAGGAGATCTGAGCAGGACTGGGTAAGACTGGTGTCCAGTTCAAAGCCTCAGCAAATGCTGCTTTGTTTCATTGGTTTTATAGCTGCTTCCTTATCAGAACAAGAATTAGAAACAAGCTCCAACCTGACAGCAACCTTCCCTTGTCCCCCAGCTATGCCTCCTCAGAAGCCTGCAGCCTTGTCCAAGGGGCAGTCAACTGGGCACCTGTAAAGGCAGCATTGGGGAGCCCAGGCCCTCTTCACATCCTAAAACCATTACTCCTCCCCCTCCCCAGCCCACCCCTGAACCAAGAACATCACTTAGATTCCAACTAAGCACAATATCAGCTTGGAGTCAGCCCCACCTTAGCAAGCTCATGCCTAGGAGATTAACTCACAGCTCTCCAGCCAGATAAATCAGCTTAGACCATGGGTTCCCCAGCCTTAATCAGGGGAGTCCACATGTGGGCTTTGGGGAGCTGAGGCCCTGGGCAGTGGCCCCCTGTGGGGAGGTAATGTCTTTGTCCCACTTGTTACAGTCCAGATCCCCCTTTCCTTGACCTTAAGAAGATTCAGGATCATCCAGAGGCTCTGGGGGTGGGGGCAGATACAGGGAGAAGGACAGATGTGCTTCCTAGCAGAGCAGCTTTGCACAGGGAAAAGTGGGGACGGGATGCCCCCCAGCCCAGAAGAACAGGAGCCAAATGTCCTGTTGCCTGGATACCAGTTGTGTAACTGTTGGAAATAACCAGGGTGGGCTGTACCAGCATTCAGAATTCAAATAGAAAAGGTTGCAAACTCCAGAGAGGGCTGGGCTGGCAGACACATCCCTCTACCGCCAGCCAGTTCCCTTTCACTCATCAGGAAGTCATCGCTAAATGACTGCCGGCCTCTTCAGAGACTCCTCTCCAGCATGTCACCAGCTTCCTGTGACTGCTGGGCCCCAGCTCCCCACTGTTCAGACTCATGACCTGGGAGGGAGGCCTTGGTGATGGACACCCGATTCTAGGCCTCGACTCGGGACAACCCCTGCCTCAGGTTATCTCAGAACCCCATTGGGTAGACTCTCCCCTTTTAGAAGAACCAGCACAGAGCTGATTGCTGTGAGACAGAGGTGAAAGTTATCCCAGATGTCCAACTTTTCCAAATGTTATCCCATTCCATCATCTCTAACATCAACTACTCCTGCCCTCAGTGCTCACCCTACTGTCTGAGTTCTTGGAGGTTCCATCATTTACAGCAGTATCTCACAGAACTCTTGAACTGTCAAGGAAATGGTTCATGAGTCCCAGATCCAAGGGTCAGGCGTCAAGTCTGGAGGCCTCTCCTGATTCACATGGTTGCAGGGTCTGACAGACCCAAGTCTCCAGGTCACACAATCGGAGTTTCAAGAATAGGACGTCAGATAATGATGAGACAGAGGCGGGATCCAGAAGGAGAAAACTTTACCAGAGCATTCGTTGTTAAGTACCTTCGAATTGGTTCCAACCCATAGCAACCCTGTATAGGGTTTCCAAGGAGTGGCTGGTGAGCTTAAACCACTGACTTTGCAGTTCAAACCGACTGCAGTCCAGCGCATTAACCCACAGTGCCAGGACTCCAGAGTGTTCATAGACCATAGATTCATAGACACAGACCATAACCTCCAGGAAACGCCCCTTACTTAATTGCATAGCTGCCAAATCACTGAAAAACAACTCAGCTAAGTTAACACATAAACCCTAACCATCGCAGGTGTCATAATTCTTAATTTGCATTGACAAGTTGTCCAGGCCCCTTAGTGGACCATAAACGCTGTATTTGCATAGTCACACCAATAATTGTGGGGGTGTCACAAAAACTATGGCGCTGTGGGTTAATGCACTAAACTGCAAGCTCATCAGTTGCTCCTCAGAAACCCTATACAGGGTCGCTATGGGTCAGAACCGACAACAGCACATAACAACCACAACAGCTAACCCACTGCCATGGAGTCAATTCAACAGGGTTTCCTGTAAGGCTGTAAATTTTTATGGAAGCCGACTGCCTCATCTTTCTCCTATGGAGTAGCTGGTGGGTTAGAACCACAGACCTTTCAGTTAGCAAACCCATGTTTAACCACCAGGACTCCTTAAGACTTGGTAGAAGGACATAGGACGTCATTCACTACACCACAGTCGTGGTCACACCCCATGAGCCTCAGAGTAAGGCCATTCTAAGGGAAACAACGTCCTTGCTCTCTTGCCCAAGATTTGCCTTTCACCTCTCAGTGCCCCTAGGCCTGGCAGGGCATCAGCCTCTCCCCGGACCTCTCACTTGATCCCTTGTATGGGTGCCCTTTAGGATTCAGGCCCTGTCCCTTGGAGGGTCAGAGGAGCGCAGCCAAAGGGAACAAAAGCCCCTCATAATTCCTGCGTGTGGGAACCCAAGTGGATGCCAAGAGCTGAGCTGGGGGTTGAAAGGTGAGGGGCACTGGATGGGGTGACAGGGGCAGGGCCGGACGTTCTCCTCAGGCCCCAGGGTCCTGCTGGGCCTTCTGTAGCCACCTCGCCTTGCAGGCTTGCCGTTTCCTTTCCCTTGACCTTCCACTAGGGTCACCCAGCCGGGCGCTGCTGCTTCCCTCAGTGCTGGGAGTGGCCACTGGGCTGTTTTTTTTCATTTTTTTGCTTGGTTTCAATTTCCCTTCCCCTGACCCTGGCCTCAGCCAAGCCACCTGAAAGCCAGTCTTGGGTATGCCCACACTGGCCGCTCCCTTGAGCCCTCCGACCTGCATGAAGGGCTGGACTGATGGGGGGCTTTTGGTACTTTTTTTTTTTAACATTAACAAAGTTATTATTGAGATATAATTTTCATACCATAAAATCCACACTTAGAAAGCATACAATGCAGTGATCTTTAGTCTGTTCACATGGGATTCAAACATCACCAACAATTCCAAAACATTTTCGTCATCCCAAACGAAACCTCTTATTGCCTGTTCTAGAAATTTCATAAAATGATACAATATGTTCACCACTCATCTGCCAATTTTGTGGTTGTGTGTGTTGCTGCGTTGCTGGAAGCTATGCCACCGGTATTTCAAATACCAACAGGATCGCCCATGGTGGACAGGTTTCAGCTGAGCTTCTAGACTAAGACAGACTAGGACCTGGTGATCTATTTGTGAAAAAAGTAGCCAGTGAAACTTTATACATAGCAATGGAACATTGTCTGATACAGCGTTGGAAGAGGAACCCTCACGTTGGAAGGCACTCAGAACACAGCTGGGGAAGATCCGCCTCCTCAAAGTCGAGTTGACTAGGATGAGACGGGTGAAGTAAATCTTTCAGGACCTTCATTTGCTGACGTGGCTGTAACCATGGGTTCAAAGACAGCCGTGATTATGAGGATGGCATAGGACTAGGCAGTGTTTCATTCTGTTGTAGGTAAGGTCACTGTGAATCAGAACTGACTTGATGGCATCTTACAACAACAAATAACATGTGGTCTTTGGTGACAGGCTTCTTTTACTCAAGTACAGTCAGAAGGCTCCTTAGAAGCCAGGGTAGCCAGACTTCGTCTCTCATACGAAGATCAGCGACACAAGATCAGTGAAAAAGAGGGAGACCCCCCCAACAAGATGGACTGGCACAGTGGCAGCAGCAATGGGCTCAAACACAAAATTTGTGACGATGGGGCAGAACTGGGGAGTGTTTCATTCTGTTGGTTCTATGAATCGATACCAACGCAATGGCACCTAACAACAACAACAACAGAAATGTTTTTAAGCTTCATCCTTGTCATGGTGGTGGTGGTGGCTACATGCCGTGGAGTCGGTTCCGACTCATAGCAACCCTGTACAGGGTGCAGAAAACCTCATCTTTCTTCCACAGAACAGCTGGTATTTTCGAACTGCTGACTTTGAGATTCACAGCCCGATTCATAACCACTACATTACCTGAGCTCCTTGTCATAGCATGCATCGATATTTCATTCCTTTTTATGGCTGATTGATATTCGGTTGTATGAATAGATAACATATATACCACATTTTGTTTATCCAGTCATCATTTAGATTTCCAACTTTTAACTGTTATGAATAATGCGGTTCTGAATATTC